TCCGAGTTCCTAGCCCATTTGGGACCCAATTTCAACAAGGTTTTCTACACACTTCTAAACACTCTTCATGCATCTCTAGCACTTGTAATCAATCAAAATTATTGTATTCTAACGTATTATAAACCCAAACAACACTAGATAAGTTATTTATTCGTTCAACGCAATGTTTCCGAGTTCTTAGCCCATTTTGGAGCCAATTTCAACAAGTCTTTCTACACACTTCTAAACACACTTCATGCATCTCTAGAACTTGTAATCAATCAAATTGATTGTATTCTAACATATTCTAATCCCAAATAACATTGGATAAGTCATTTAGTGGTTCAACGCAATGTTTCTGATTTTTTAGCCCATTTGGGACCCAATTTCAACAAGTCTTTCTCCACTCTACTGAAAACTTTTCATGCATCTCTAGCACTTGTAATCAATCAAATTGATTGTATTCTAACATATTCTAACCCCAAACAACAATGGATAAGTCATTTAGTGGTTCAACGCAATGTTTCCGATTTCTTAGCCAATTTGGGACCCAATTTCAACAAGTCTTTCTCCATACTTCCAAACACTCTTCATGCATCTCTAGAACTTGTAATCAATCAAATTGATTGTATTCTAACATATTCTAACCCCAAACAACATTCGATAAGTCATTTAGTGGTTCAACGCAATGTTTCCGATTTCTTAGCTAATTTGGGACCCAATTTCAACAAGTCTTTCTCCATACTTCCAAACACTCTTCATGCATCTCTAGCGCTTGTAATCAATCAAATTAATTGTATTCTAACATATTCTAAACCCAAACAACATTAGATAAGTCATTTAGTGGTTCAACGCAATGTTTCCGAGTTCTTAGCCCATTAGGGACCCAATTTCAACAACTTTTTCTACACACTTCTAAACACTCTTCATGCATCTCTAGCACTTATAATCAATCAAATTGATTGTATTCTAACATCTTCTAACCCCAAACAACATTGGATAAGTCATTTAGTGGTTCAATGCAATGTTTTCGATTTCTTAGCCCAATTGGGACCCAATTTCAACAAGTCTTTCTCCACTCTACTGAATATTTTCATGCATCTTTAGCACTTGTAATCAATCAAATTGATTGTATTCTCACATATTCTAACCTCAAACAAC